GAGGATCCGGTAAAAAGCATCTTCCCTATGCACCGTACATCATGCATATCATAGAGCATGTATCCATCCGCTTTCCCTATGACTGACTCGAGCATAAGGTCCTCAAGATATCCAACAAGACCTCCATCATTGCTGCTAGAGAACTCAAAGAACAAGCTGAGGCAGCCCAAGCTAAAGGGAAAGGTCCTTCGGGTTCTCGCTCTCGCCGTGGTGCTGCCACTGCTGCTGCTGCTGCTCGCTCATCCAGTGACGAGCCCCTCTCTTCGTCCTCCTCCGAAAAGAAGCCCAGCAGGTTCAAGTTTCTAATGACCTACATGTTTGGACAGTGTTGTGCTAGTGCTCAACGTGAGCACGACATGCAAGAGAGGCTATATCGATTGGAACAGCAAGCAGGAATTGTATCTTCTCCTCCACTGCCATTTGTGCCTCCTCGTGATCCGTTGGCTTTATATGATGAGGCTTGTGCGGCGTACGACGATGATGCTTCTTCTCGCCCCCATGGCAAGGGGAAAGCAACTGAAGACGATGAGGAATATCAAGAGGAAGAAGATGATGAAGATGACGACGATGGTGAGGAAGGTGACCAAGGAGATGATGATGACTCCGATGATGAGTAGTTGGTTTCTCATGCGGCCTACCCCTTTTGGCACTTGTTGACAAAGGGGGAGTGTTAGGCTTTGATTTATTGTAATAAGTTAGTTGGTCTTTTTGTTTTGGAACTTTAAATCCTTTAGCGTGTATGAACTATGTCGTGTGGTGGCAACCGTGTGATGGACAATTATCTATTTATGAGTGTGATGGATGATTGTAGGATAAGCTATGTTTTAATCTATCTTATTTGCTTGTGCTTATCTCTACTTGTCATGATGAATGTTTTTGTATGGCCATGTGTTACTTAAAGTTTCTACTTTGAAATCTTGGCCATTATTTTTTTTCTCTTGTTGTGTGAAATAACATGTCATATTGCATCTCTTTTCACCGATACTTATTTATTCACACATACTTGTTGCACCCCACGGATTGCAAAATTTAGGGGGAGCTTTTGTCTTGGTGTATGCAAATCATGTATACATGATTCCAATTGAAATTCAAATTCATGCATACATCAAGGGGGAGCTCTCCATAAATTTTGGGGTTCAAAAGTTTTAAAATCTTTCATTCTTATAAAAGCCTAAGTTGGTTGTCATCAATTACTAAAAAGGGGGAGATTGAAAGTGCATTTGCCCCCTATGTGGGTTTTGGTGTATTGATGACATCCAAATTATGGACTAATGTGATCTTAATGAGATATGTTGCAGCTATTAGTCCCATGAAAGATTCAAAGAGTTGATAAAGATGAAATGGTATCCCTCAATTCTTGAAGTTGTAAAGGCGGACGAACTCAAAACTATCTCTAAAGGGTTTAATTTTGTTTTTGAGTTTAGGATCCGCCGCACTATAAAGAGGGATGCAAGTTTAGTTGGTCTGAGGAAGATAGAGTGCTCAAGCATTTAAATAAAATAAAAAGAGAGTCACTCTACCACTTCACGCGCACTTAGAATAATTTTCTGTGTCTTTTCAAAGGTCGGAAGTCCCGACCTAAGCCCAGAGTCCCAAAGACTGTGGCTTCTTGTGCTTCGATCGTCATTGTTCATGCTTTCGTTTAAAGTCCTCCGTTAGTCGCCGGAGTTCCGATAGTCGGAAGTCCCGACGTTCGGCCGGAGTTCCGACATCGACTTTCACCCGTGGACTTCACCCGTTGTGAGAATAGTATTTTATGTTGATGTCGGAAGTCCGGGATCTGCGCGCGGACTTCCGGCGTAGATCTAACGGTGGATTTTCACTTGGAGTATAAATACCTCTCTTCACTTCTAACAAAGAATGACTCATTTCACAAATGGACTAGCTTCAACTCAACAGCTCCCAAGCACATCGAGCACCCTCTCCTTCCCTTTGCTCGAATCTTCGATTCCCTTAGAGTTTGAGTGAAAGGAGAGTGGATTTAGTAAGAGCATCATGTTGGAAAGCTTGAGCACTTGATTTCTTCGCTGTCGAATCGATTTTATGCCTATTACTCTTGGGGCTTTGCCCCTAGCCGGCTAGGCGCTGCCCTAGAGCTTCCATCTTGTGGAAGATCCTTGGGAAGTTTGTATCACCCTTCGATTTCTTAGTGGAAAGCTCAAGAGACCTTTGTGGTCGCCTTGAGAGAGGCAAGGAGGTGGAAAAGACTCTGACCTTGGTGGTCACCTCAACAACGAGGACGTAGGAGCTTCTTAGTGGGGTTGCCGAACCTCGGGATAAATCCTTGTGTCCCGTGTGCTTGTTGTTGTGATTGCTAGAGATTATTTGTATATGTTTGTCTCTTTCCCTCCCAAACTTGCATTTTAGGGTTTGGACTCGATCTACGGTTTGGAGGCATTACGGTGTCAAGGAGTGACCTAACATCTTCACCAAACCACTAGGAAGTGAGGTTGTAAGTTTATTTATCCGCAAAGTTAAATTTGGCACTGCTTTTGTAGTTCACGTAGGCGTCGGAATTGGCTGGCGTTTGGCTATGCTGACTTCCGACAACGTCGGAAGTTCTGACCCAAACGTCGGGACTTCCGACTGTGACCGACAGAATTGAACTTAGCATTTGCAGTAAATTTTTAGATACACCTATTCACCCCCCTCTAGGCATTGTTAGATCCTTTTAAGGGGGTAGAATTGTAACACCCCAAAATTTGCCTCTTTTCAAAATAGGTTTAAAATTATTTATTTGTGAATTTTTGTGCACATGAAATATAGGAAAATAAAAATTTTCATTAAATTAAAATTCATCATAAGCTAGCAACATGTTTGAACATACATGCCCTTGCATTTGATTTATTTGGTTGAGTGGTTTTGATTGAAAACTTCAAATGGTTTAAATTGCTTTTGCAAATGAAATTAAAAATGGCTTTGAAGTAAAAGAAAATTTGAAAATAAAGGAATTTTTAAAGTTGTAAATTTTATTTTTGAGAACTTATCAAAATTTCTTATTTTTAATTAAGTTGAAAAGTGTATTTGAAATTCTATTCAAATTTGGTTAGGTTTATATTTGAATTGGATTTGAACTAAGAAAATAAATAGAAAAGGAAAAGAAAACCTCTCTCTCTTGCTCTCTATTTTTGCCCACCTTTGCTCTTTTTGGCCCTACCTAGCTTCCACTCCCCACCCACCCTCCTCCTTGGGCCGACGGCCTGCTAGGCCTGCTCCCTCCCTCTCTCAACTTTTCCCCGCGTAGGCCCACAGTTTCTCCTTCGTTTTCCCCGCGTGGGTCGAGTCAGCTTGAATGTTTTTTCCCCGCGGAGCCGGCTCTCTCTTTCCCCGCTTCTCCGGTAGCCAAATGGCCGCTTCAAGGCCAAATTAATCCGCACGGACGCCGCACACTCTCCTTTCTTCCTCTGTCACTAACCGCCCGGGCCCCCCATCAGCTCCGCCTCCTACCTCAGTCCATCACCGAGCCGGACTCTACCGCCGCTGCCATGGACTCCGTGTCCGCGCCGCTCCCGATTCCTTCCCTGTCGTGCGAGCTACGCCAGGACGTCCCATAAATAGCGATCCTCCGCGCCCCTTCCGTCCACCCCACCGAGCCTAGCGTAGCCGCCATGCCGCCTGTGCCTTAGCTCCGCCGAGAAGACAACACATACAACACAAGCAATGAACATGTTCATCTTCAACATCAGTTTCTCCAGTTTGTGCTCCTATTCCTTCCTCTGCTTGTCACCATCTAGACTCCCCACTGAAGCTTCTTCTTCCACCACCTCTGCCCAGTTCGATGGCTGAACAATGACGATGCTGAGATCCTTCATCTGCTGGAAGTACTGCTTCTCGAATCGATAGTACCCACACAACTTAGGGAACTAAAAAAGGACACAAATTACAACCCTAACTGTGCTAATTTAGGAAGATTCAGGAGACAACTCACCCCATTCCTTGCACACTTGAAGTACAGACAACCATGATTCTCATTGCCCTTCTTGGTCCGCTCTTCCACCACTCGAGCAAGATGGCAATCCGGGCAAGGGATCAACGGGAAACCACCAGCTCACCAATGGGATCGAGACCAACCAAGACAATGTGGGTGCTCGGGCCACTGGTGAAGCCTGCTCTCTCGCCTGGCTCCACCTCCGCATTTACTCCGAGTAATGCTCCATCGAGAAAGTTGGGAGAGGAAGGAGGAGAGGAAGGCGGCGGCCGGCGCGAATGCTACAAGGCGGCGGAGAGGGCTATGGCGAGAGCGGGAGACGAAGAACGAGCAAATGGGCCAAGCGAGGCGATCGAGTCTTGCGGCCCGGCTAGGTTAGCGCAAGCAGAGGGGGGCAACCATGGGTCATTTGCCACCCTCATGCCGCCTCGGATCCGACTGGATCGACACGTCACCGCGTGCACACAGTGCAAAAGTGACAATTTCAGATTCTTCTCTCCGCTATGTGCCAAATTCAGATTGCCGGCCGTTAAAGTGAGATCTCGGGAGAGGTGCCGATTCTTATAATGGTAAAAGTTAAATCTCCGGGAAGAAGGGCGGATGCGGCGGGGAGCGGGCCGGGCGCTTTGGCGGTTTCTTTGCACGCGATAATCTCGGGCGGGTATGCGGGTGGGTAACAAGACTCTTCGGTGAAAAAAGTTAGGAGCGGAGGGGAGATCGACAACGGGAAAAAAAGTGTTTTGTCACATCGTCGTTCTCATTCTTGGGTCCGCTTGTCAGATCTGTATCCAGCGAGCGTTAGATGTAAAATCAAAACACATCTAATGGAGGAGATCTTAACGGTATAGAGTTTTTAGGTAACGGGTATTTTCCAATTTCTTTGCTCTTTATAGCCGATAGAATATGAATATGTCGATTGTGTGTAGAGCCTGAAGGCCAGGAGAGACTGCAGGGAACACCTGCTTCCCTCCCCTAGAACCCCAGCTCTGCCCCGCGGTAAATCCGTGATCCTGAAGACCTGAACCAGATTACTGTACTTGTCCTCCAACTCGATGCTCTGCTGTTCTCCCGTTTACTGCCATTCAACCACACCACATCCTTGTAAGAAACTGTCTGATGCGTTCAAGTGGGCGAGCCACAGCTGCCGCAGCTCCGGGAACGCGACCTCCAGCCATGGCTTCCGTGGCCCACTGAAGTGCAGGACGGCGGAGAACCGCACAAGGTCGGGGTGCGGCACGCGCCAACCGAGGCCCGGCAGGTTCCACAGCGGCTCGATCGCCTGAACGCGCCCGTCGAACGCGATCAGGGCCGGCGGCAGCGAGGCCATCTGCCACAGCCTGAAGCCCGACTCCCGGTTCTGCACATGACGCAACGAGGTGTCAGAGCCGCTGGCAGCGAGGCCATCATCTGCCACGAACTGCTTGCTCCTGGCACGATAAATGGTCAGAGTTCAGGACAAGGAGCTTGCCTTTTGTAGCCAGAACTGGTATGTCTCGGTAACGTTTGTTCGTCGCCACGCGTCGAGGTCGACGATGTTGACGCCCCACGACCACGCGCATTGCGAGCTATGTAGGCCGGACACGTCGGGGTCCGAGAAATTCAGGTGGTCGCCAAAGGTCTTGTCGATGCAGACGCCGCTGCCTTCGTGAGCGCCGACCGCGCCGATGATGTTCCCGTCAAGGTCCTGCTCCCACAGCCCGGCCAAGTCCTTGCGTACCACGACGTCGTCGTCCAGAAGCATCACCCTACCAAGCTCAGGGAAGAACTGCTCGAGCAAACAAGCCAGAGGCCAATGTTAGCACAGAGGGACATGCACATCTTCATTCATCAAAGGGTGACCATGCATGCATCCGTCCATTTTACCTCCGGGAGATGGATCTTGAGATAGTTGAGGAGCGAGAACGTGCTCGGTCTGGATGCTTCGAGCTGTCTGTGCTCCCTCTCCGCCGATCCATCACACTGGTGATACTCCAGCGAGCTCCTCTGACCTCCTCGACCGTCCTCATGACGGAGGCGACGACGCCGGCGTCGCGCCAGTCAAACTGGTGGAGGCCCCTGACCTCGACGACCGCGGGCGACACCGGGTGCAGCGCGAACCACGAGTGCATGGGCACGTAGCTCTTCTTGTCCGTGACCACGTGGAACACCAGCCTGGCAGGGTCGGCGGCGCTCCGCGCGGCGGAGGCCACCGCGACGGCGGCCGCGAGCACGTTGTCGGTCACGAGCGCGACGTGGAGGCACGACGCGTCGGTCAGGCGCGGGGCGTGCTCCGGCGGCGGCACCGGGGAGCGCGCCGCGGAGTTCACCGCGAACTCCTCGGCGAGCCGAAGGGCGAGGCAGTGCACGCTCTTGGGGATGCCCAGCGACGCCAGGTGCCGGTTGAACACAGCCCGGATCCTTGATGACTTTACCTTCCGATCCATCTTCAGCAGCTGGGGAAAAGTATTTGTTTCCAAGAGTTAAACCAGTAATAAAGTTTTTAAGTAGACACATAATCTTTGTAATGCAAGAATTCTAGGAAACTACACGAGAAAAGGGTTTCCTTGGTAATTCTTAATATCTCCGTTCTAATTTATAGGTCGTTTTGGTTTTTCTAGTTTTACTATGTATCTAACAAAACCAAAATAATTTATAATTTGGCAGAGAGTGGTATAAAGAAAGCAGTCGTGTCCTGCTAATTTGTTAAAGAAGGTAATGAGGCACTGATCCTACGACTACGACAAACCCCAGCGTGCAAGAAGACCATACGGTCACAGGCTGGCATGTCTGAACAATTGCCGGTTTGTATGTTTGACAATTCGATAATCATGATCAAGGTAAACAATGTACACCGCCAACACCGGTACACCATACGTTTCAGTCAAGTCTAGACTAGAGAATGCGCAAAAAGGCAGAGACCATGCATAATGCGGCCTTTCGCCATGGAAAGCTGAAAGCACTTACTTGAGCTAAGGTTGTAGTAACATGCAAGCATGATGCCAGGTTATCAAAGCTGAGTGAAGATTAGTAAAGGCCACAACGGAGAATATACCGCGTACCATGGCCATCATCTTGATCGCCACGGCTTCCATGTCAATCCGGTCGTAGGACGCCAGCATGGTGGCCATCTCCGCCATGAGCGCGTCCAGGGAGTCCGGCGCCGCTCCCACCACCACAGGGTCCAGCAGGGTGGCTTCCCTGTGACGCCTCCATTCCTTCATAAATTCCTGGCCATTCCACAGGTACAGACGTACAGTGGTACACGTGAGTATCCCATCCGTGTACCACGCAGTACACGGGCAGTACAGATATACCATCAAAGGAATTTCTTTGGATGAAGAAACAAAAAATAGATAAGCCAAGTAGTATTAAGTACTAGTACTAGCAGCTTATGGACATGGAAACAAACGTTATTCGGCACGATCTAGACTGGCAGAAAGAAAAATCACAAGGGGATGCATGGTTGCATGGATGGCTCACGGACCACAAAACCACGACCGCTGCAGGATCCACGTTCCACGTAGCTCCAAACGCAAGGCCCCATCATCCGAGCTGGATCGCACAGCGCGTCCTAGAGAGAAGGGGAATCCTAGCGAGTAGCGAGCAAGTCACAGGGCTCAGGGCTGCCTGTCTTGGGTTTCCGTAGCGGTTGGCAACACACACAATGACACAACGCCCGATCCAAGCCACCAACTCGTAGGGTCCGCGCAGCGATGCGGCAGTGCAGGTGCAGGTCACACGAATCTATCTATACTTGTAGTCCCGATCCGATCCGCAAAGAATCGCGCCCGGACCTCGTCAAATTAGGCAGTTTTTTGTGCACAACTTGACTAAGAAGTACTAGGACTAGTTCTTGACTATTTCTATACATGCCTAATTAGCTTTCCAAACGGAAAGAACAGTGCGCGTTTAGCTTCTTGTGAGGCCTACTTTTGCATTGTATTGTACAGTCTACTATATACGGCTGAATCCAGTTAGACTTTGGGTTGCAAATGGATTGGTTACCATGAGCGCGCAGGCGCAGCCGCGTGCGTGCGGCGTCGCCCATCCTCTGCTTTTGCCCTCCCCCCCCCGCCGCGGCGCAGCGCAGGACGTAAAAAATTGGTCAAGAAACCGGCGCCTAACGCAAATTTGGTGCTGCGCCAGCCTAACCTAACGCAAATTTGGTGCTGCGCGAGCCTAACGCAAGGAGGCGGCAATGTCGGACTCAGACTCACCTCCGTCGCGTCGCCGCCGTCGCCGTAGAGCCAGCGCCCCAGCCCCGCCCGCCAGTCCAGGCACCCTGAAGCATGACGAGAGCAAGAGTGACAAAGAGTTCCATGGACCATCAAACGGCACGCACGTTGTGCAAGTACAGCAGTTACCGGTCGTGGAAGGGCAGAGGGAGGCGCCGGCCTCGATGGCGAGGAGCGCGGCGCGGAAGAGGAGCAGACCGGCGAGGAGCCCCGTGACGGCAGCCGAGCGGCACCCGCGCCGCGCCGCTTGCTGCTTCTGGGGCTGTGGCTGCGCCACCTTGGGCTTCGTCGCGTCGTCGGCGCCCGCGGTTGCCGTCGCCGTCGCCGTGATGTACACCCTCATTGCCGGCGTTGAGACGGCTCGCTCTACGCGAGGCTGCCTTCGGCGGACTGGCTGTCGTCGCCGCCGCTCATCAACTTACTGAGCAGAGCTATGGACTGAACCCGAGCTCCCGCTCAAGGCTCAAGTAACGACGCGCTGGCACAGCGCAGGCCAGGATGGAGGCTCGCAGTCGCAGCAAGCTAAACTGCCGCGGCGCGCGGGTGCGGAGGTGGGAACGCGGGGCAGGGGAGAAGGAAAACAGGGCGGCGGTGCGGGTTCGCGCGCGGGGCGGGGAGTCACAAGGAAGGAAAGGACCAGCCGCGAGTTGGGAGTGGGCACTGGGCGATCGAGGTGGCGAAACAAGAGAGAGTGGCGAGGCGAAGGCGAAGGCCGCCGGGCCGCTGTTGCTGTTTGCGAATCTGGAATTCTGCTGAGCAGGGGCCCGGGGCGAATGGGCCATGGGTTTTGCCGGATTTGACCCCCCGGAAAGCGACCTCGACTGCGCGAGAGCTGGGAGCTGAGCAGACCACCGACAGAAACCCGAGGGTGATATGCCCGGCGCGGCGGGCGGCGGGCGGCGGGCGGCGGGCCTACCCCAAGTTGACGACGACGCTGCCTCGTGGGACAGACGCATGGCCATCGCTGTCCCGTCCGTTCCCATGGCTTATCCGGTGGTGCAGTGCCGCGTCTCGCTGTCCCAGTCTCCCGCGAGATGAGATCGATGGGTATAGCTTTCGCATTAGCTTCCCTGTCTGGCTAAACGTACGAAATCGCCATGTGACATTGCGACGACGGTGTCTGGACTGCTCCGGTTCGCTTGTTTGAACGCTACGCATTGCCAGCGTGGAGGTGGTGGCCACTGGCCAATCGGAGTTAATGATGCCGGCACACAGGGAGTGAGCAGAGTTATCAGTTATTAGTTATTACTACACGCAGATTGCATAGGCAGAGACCGGACAGGCACTTGGGCTGGTATCAGCAGATCTGGCATGGATTTACGACTTCTCGCCATTCACACCATGACCGGGCACTGAAACAACGAACCAGATGGATGCTGCTGCCGATACCGGTTCCTGACTGTGTCCCTGGTTCACCGCTTGACAAAGGGTAAACACTAGTATTACAAATCGGTGAAAAACTGAAAATGGTGCGATACATGACGCACGTACTAGAGCAGGACGAACGACGGACCCCGCCACCACAACTTGTTTCTGCCCCGGCCGGTAGAAGTACTCCGTAGACTGTAGTGGTAGTAAACGCCATTTCAGTGCTGCCGTAGTACGTGCGAGATCTATCGGTACCGGCTGCCGGTCCTTGTCCTTGGACCTACCTGACTTTGTCGCGTGCCCGTTGGTGGTCACGGTTGGTCCCTGCGGTGCTTTTGAAGTTTATTAGATGCATCATATCTCCTCGCCTCAAGTTTACTGCTACTCTTGGTTCTCACTCCAACCTGAATTCAGTTGGGACGTGTGATAGCCATTGGTTTTTTAATTTGAATTGAATTATAAAAGGATTTTCATTAAGACGATAACAGAGTTACAAGGATGGGAAGCTCGCAAGTGCAGTTGGCCAGAAGTTCCGAGTTGTAACGTTCACTTCAGCCTGGATACCTTTTACCGGGGACCCATACCGTGCAATACCCAGGTCGCGGCAATCTGTAGTGGCGTGGCGCATGCTTTTACCGATCCCCACCGAGGCACCTGACTGATCTCACTAAGATAACGGTGACGTCGTGACGACCTGGGGACGTCATCGGGGCTGAGGGGCAATCGAGTATGGACAAACAAACAGACCGGGAGGGCAATCGTGTCTGTCTAATAAACTGGGTTCATTGCTTGAACGGTGTCAGTAAAAACTTTTCTGAGCAGAGTTTGTACTCCAATCCTGCCTAACAGTGATCTCGAGTGAGTAGCTCCATCTAACCGACGTATACGCTCACTACTCACACTACTATACTGTCCATGGGTTGGTTCTGTTTCCTGTTAGGATGGTAAAGCAGGAAGTCAAGGAGGCAGGGTACGTATATGCTCGCTCTAGACTGCATTCAATTGGTCTACCGAACAGCGAGATTCATTGGCACGGGCAAGCAAAGTAATTCCGGCCCATTCAGCGTCCTTTTTTTTAACCGGAGATTCCGGTAATGTCTGCTTGGGGATCCCCTACATTCATTCTGTGGTTTAAGAAAGGAGTTTAAAATTTTATATAAGGAGAAGTGGAGAACTAATCTGATCAGCTGGCATGTTGTTGAATTGTTCCTTTCAGCACTAAGGAGAAGTAGAGAACAATTCATTCTGTGGTTAAAGAAAGGAGTTTGAAATTTGGTGCCTGCTCTGCTCTGCTTAGTGGCGTGTTGTCTCAGAGCACTCGCATTATCTACCTGCTCCACAACCTGGTTCAGTTTTTCCATCCATGGCACATAAAATGGGAGATGACGGTGCATGAAACACAGATGAAAGACAACAGAAGAAATCCTTTTGACGTGTTATTAGTGCAATTCGATCTGTCGGAACCATGGTGAGAATGCCCTCCCATTTCACAGTGGCATGATTTGTGGATATGGATACTTTGGTCTTTCTTGCGGAGCATGCCTCACGAAATAAAAGGAAGAAACCTATTTTTGGCCATTGAATTTTTGCCGAGTTCGATGGTTATAGACTTCTTCTCAAAATAGAAGTGATGCGATTTGGTCTCCTGCCTTCTCAGGTCTGAATTCTGTGAAGACAGGATAGCTGCAGGTCTCTTGTTTGTTACTACTGCCTTGACTCAGGAGTCAACAGCGAAACTTTTTGTAAAAGCTGATGGGAACGCAAGCAGGCGATGATCTGCAACAAGGAATGGCATTATTGTGCATCCATTTTGGCATTCGACAGCAAAGTTCTACGGAATGTCAAACGTGAAGTGGCACATGCCTGCCTGCGGCAGCTTTCACGCATTGGTTGCAGGCGATACGGTAGTTGCCCAGCAGCTTTCACATGGCGAGATGGATATATGGATCAAAGCTGTCTAGCTTTTCTTGATGTGAGGTGGTAAGGGCTTGTTTAGTTTATTCCTCTAAAGTTTACTTCCTATCTCATCGAATATTTGACACATGGAGTATTAAATATAGACTAAAAAATAACTAATTGCACAATTTGCGAGACGAATATTTTAAGACTAATTATGCCATGATTTGACAATGTTGTGCTACAATAACATATGTGCTAATGACGGATTAATTAGGCTTAATAATTTTGTCTCACGGATTACTAGCGGATTCTGTAATTTATTTTTTTATTAGTATCAAACACCCCATACGACACCCTCACGTGACATCGGATAAACACTCTGAAACTTTACGCCCTATATTTATATTTAAAGAAGGCCTAAGTAAAATCGCCGCGTACCCCCCTAATCTGCAGATGTTGATCTGCACGATCATCTGCAATGACGAAGATGTTTACTTGGTCAATTCCTCGGGAAGCTGCATGTCCCAAAGGTGGGTTTTCAGGGGCTAGTGGATGGCCAACGAGAACCTTTTTTTTTTCCGTCTCTGGATGTGCTAGACAAGAAGACAAAGGCGCAGAGCTCTCCGTGGAACAGGGAAAAAAGTGTGCCATTGTATGGTGCAGCGGCAGCAGAAGCCGGCCAAATCTTGGTCCGTGACATGTTCTTTCAGGGTTTCACCCAAGAAATTTGAGGCAGAGAGCATGGCTGATTGATACTGCATGCATTTTTTTTAATACGCAAGAGCATTGCGTATCGAATACGTGCATTGAAGTGGTTTCATGTTTTTAACACCAACACAACAATCACGTCATTTTTTTTCATGAACGATGGCTCATGACGTTGATTTTTTGGTTTTTTTTTAAGGAAAATTCATGGCGTTGATCATTGACTTCAGTGGTAACTTTTGGAGATGCTCGCGAAAAGAGCAGAAGGAAATGGAATGAGAGAATAGTTCAGAGACGCACGGTGAACTGGTGAAGTGGAGTAAGGCCCAAGCCCAACGGGCTGAATATAGTGGAATACACCCTAACCCGGAACTATTTGGGCTTAGGCTAATAGGCTTTATGGATAAATTCCATAAAGCAATGACCACTACGCCACAAAAAGTCCACATTATATCCCTCAATTTTTGCGAAAGTCTGTTTTTTCTCTCTGAACTCTAAAACGGGTAAATCATCTCCTTGAACTTAAAACCGTTCGTTTTACCTCCCTGAACGGTTATAAACGATTTTCAAAGACGGTTTTGTATTTTTCTTTTTTTATTTATTTCGGCTAAATCTTTGGAAAATCATAGTAAATTATAGAAAAATCATAAAATAGAAAATCCAATTTTGTTGGACTGCACATGAGTAGATCTACGCAGCGTATATATAATATGGTATGCTTTAGTACAAGTTTTTTTGCTGTAGCTTTAGATCTATGTTTTTCTATAATTAATTCATAGCTGCAGTTTCTATGGTCTAATTGTGGTGAATTTTTTATGGTGGGCTAATTATTGTATGCTTGAACTGTCGTAAAAATTTCATACTCATTGAGCATACAATAATTAGCTCACCATAAAAATTTCACCACAATTGGACTATAGAACTGCAGCTATGAATTAATTATAGAAAAACATAGATCTAAAGCTACAGCAAAAAACTTGTACTAAAGCATACCATATTAAATATTCACTGTGTAGATCTACTCATGTTGAGTAAAAAAATTAGATTTTCCATTTTATGATTTTTCAGTGATTTACTATGATTTCAAAGACTCAGCCATAATAAATAAAAAAGAAAAAGACAAAACCGCCTTTGAATACCGCTTATAACCGGTCAGGGAGGAAAAACGAATGGTTTTAAAAGTTCAGGAATATGGTTTACTCGGTTTTAGAGTTCAGAGAGGAAAAACAGACTTTCACAAAAGTTGAGGGAGGTAACGTGTTTTTTCCCGCCTATTTAGACACATAAGGTTCCGAAGGTCTGTAAAGACCCGTGGCCTGGTAGCGTCAGGGGAACGTGGCCCAAATACCTGGCACTGCCATCATGGGTTGCAATTTGGATGCTAAGTTCTTGGGTTAGCTTAATTGGTGGGCTACTCTGAGTCACAAATAGTATCGGATCACGAAACTCGTGCCCTAACTCTCTCACTCGTTCTTTCCCCTCTCTACAGTGCTCAGAGGCGAACAACGGGCGATTTCTCGATCCCGACTTGTTCCTCACCGGATCTCTCGCCTCTGTCCGCGTCTCCGGCGTCGGAAGGTGAGGGATTTGGTTGAGGCAGGTCGCGGTTGTCTATTACTACTAATTATATGTTATAGTTTGAGTAGTTTAGGGTTACCTTCGACGGTATCCATGCGACGCCATCCGAAGTCTTCGGTCCTCCATGGCGGTCTTGATGATGGTGGCGATGGCTCCTCGATCTCTGCAGCCTGAGGTTAATAAGGTGTGAGCTCATCGGATCTGGAGTTCGGTGGGTGCTCTAGATCTCGTCCAAGTTATCCTTTGTCCTCCCTCGCTTTCTATCGGCGCCGCAGACCGATGATGGACTCTCCGGTGGAAATCTTGGAAGGTATGTCTACCAACTTGTGGAACTAGGTTGGCTTTTAGCTCCCACCTCTTCTGGTGGTTTGCTTCAGGTGTATCGCCTTCCAAATGAGCCGGGTTGTTAGTAGATGAGGCGCCAGATTCCTTGTTCTCTGGTGATGTGGTGGCCGTTGGCCATCTGGCTCAGCCTGAACGCTCAACAATTACAAAGCATGTCGGTGTTTCCGATGTGCTACACTTGGTGGCATTGAAAACCTCTGATGTTCCTTCGTCGGGAAGGTGGTCGGCTTCAAGGCTCCTGCTCCGACCGTCGACGAGGACGACCGGGAGAATCTTGCAACGACTTGGATGTATTTTTCTTTTATTTCGAGGGTGTCTTTGTAAGACTTGGGACGTAAACTATCAGAAATATATGTGAAATATAAACCCGGTTTCTAAAAAAACGAAAAATTTCATTAGTTTCCTAAAAGAAAAACGAAAATTTCATTAGTCCTGGCTCCTTGCAAAGGTGTTCATTGTGCCGTTGCGAAGTCTATTTCACTGAATCAACCTCGGTAACAGTTTCCGCTTGATTATGTCTGCAGTACTGGTTTAGGGGTTACATCAGAAAATTAAGAGACAGTTGGAACCGTGGAACTGGAAGACTAAGGCCCGGTTCGGTTGAACCGGCGGTTCCGGGCCCGGAAATCTTCCGCCCGAGTACAAATTTGTGAAAGACTTGTGCGGCTGGAAATTATTCTGATACAACCGAACAGGACCTAAAAGAAGCCTGCATACTCTCATTCTGCAGACAAATTGAAAGATCGCAACTTAGCAACAGATCCTACTCCCATCAACTTTAGACCACATTTTGCACACCTAATACAAGACAAGATAGAGGCAAAGAGGTACTAATAACTTCAACCCCATCATCAAACACGTACGTGCAGATCCTAACCAACCCCTCCATGCTCGCGAGTCGCGACGCACTAGCTGCACTGCAGTGCATGCCTACGGAACATACATAACATACGGTGGCCGCCGCCTCTAGCTAGTTCTGCTTGACGTGTCCCTCGTTTGCTTTCTTGAAGAGCTGCGCCTGTGCCGCCGCGGCGACGTCATCGCTGGAGCTGAGCGCGGCGCCGAACGCGTCCTTCACCTCCTGCGTCGTGAAGGGGAACCTGTTGTTCACCATGGAGTTGAGGAGCGACGCCGTGCCCTCGCGGAAGAGCGCGCCCACGCCGTCCTGGCGCGTGTTCGCCAGCGCCTCCGGCACGGTCAGGTCGTGCCCGAACGGCACCGCCGCGCTCGGGCCGAACAGCCGCACCAGCGGGCACCAGAAGCCGAACAGGCCCCACACCACGCCCGGGTGCATTATCCAGTAGCTGCAAATTAAGCCAGAAAATACGAGCGACACATACGTTAGGTTTGTGTGAGCCGGCAGTACTCTGAGCGAGGGTTTTGGGGGTTACGTACGTGCACGGGCCCGTGAAGGGCGGCGTGTTGGGGTCGTAGGGCGTCGGGGTAGTCGGTGTTGGCGTCAGCGGGGAGAACGGCGGCGATGTGCTGATAGGCGGTAACGGCGCATCTGGTGTCGGCGTGTACCCGCCGCCGCCGCTGCCAGGCGTGGTCGGGGAGGTGTCAGAGGACGGCGAAGGGGGGCCATAGTAGCTGCCGCCACCGCCAGGCGTCGTGGGGGAAGTGTCACTTGACGGCGAGGGAGGTCCGTAGTAGCCGCCGCCAGGCGTCGTGGGGGAAGTGTCACTGGACGGCGAGGGAGGGCCGTAGTAACCGCCACCGCCGCCAGGAGTGGTCGGTGAAGTGTCACTGGACGGCGTGGGAGGGCCGTAGTAGCCGCCACCGCTGCCTGGGGTGGTCGGCGAGGTGTCACTGGACGGCGATGGAGGTCCGTCGTAGCCGGGCGCCGACGGCGTGGTCGGAGAGGTGTCAGAAGACGGCGAAGGGGGGCCATAGTACCCGCCGCCACCGGGCGTGGTCGGGGAGGTGTCAGAGGACGGCGAAGGGGGGCCGTAGTACCCACCACCACCTCCAGGCGTCGTCGGGGAGGTGCCAGAGGACGGCGAAGGAGGAGCACTGTACCCTCCACCACCGCCGCCGGGCGTCGTCGGGGAGGTGTCAGAGGACGGCGAGGGGGGACCGTAGTACCCACCACCACCTACAGGCGTCGATGGAGAGGTGTCACTGGACGGCGAAGGGGGCCCGTAGTACCCACCACCACCTCCAGGCGTCGATGGGGAGGTGTCACTGGACGGCGAAGGGGGAGCACTGTACCCGCCACCACCACCACCGGGCGTCGTCGGGGAGGTGCCAGAGGACGGCGAAGGAGGACCGTAGTACCCACCACCACCACCACCACCGGGCGTAGTCGGGGAGGTGTCACTGGACGGTGACGGGGGAGCATTGTACCCGCCGCCACCGCCTGGAGTTGTCGGTGCGGTCGGGGAAGTGCCGATGTCCGGCGAAGGCGGGTAATAGCCGCCGCCGCCGCCACCGCCAGGTGTGGTAGGCGTGGTCGGCGAGCAGGGCGGAGTCCCGTGTGAGCCTGCAAGGAAAGAACAGAACACACAATACAGGACAGGTTTTACTTCGTGTCAGTTGAGAACCCCATAAGATAAGACCGAAGAAACTGGAAGCCGTGGGTCTCGAACCGGGAGAATGGTGCGGGTCGGCGGGGTTCTTCCGGCCGCCGAAAGGCTCGCCCTCGCCGAGAACGCGCGCTGCCGCCGCGTACGCCAGCAGCAGGCAGCAGCACACGAGCACAAGAGCTGGCCTAGCCATCTCCACACCACACTCCTTGCAAGGAGGCAATGGGCTAGCTTTCGTAGCTGCTGAAGCTTGCTGGAGCTTTCCAGGTAGTGAGTCCTGAGTCCTGACTCGCTACTGGTGTCTACTATATAACAGCTCGCGCCTTCTCGTTCGCATAAAAAATCTGCATTATGCACAGGGCAAAGCATGGTGCACCTGTTGCAGCAAATAAATGCATTGAAAGACTGACACCCGAGAGGGCAAAAGAGTCCGGCCGAGGTAGCTGGTGAACACCGCGCAGTTCACTGAAATGGAAATGGGCCGTAACGCCACGCCTTGATGGGCCTTCACCGTCGTAACATCCTTTCACTACCGTGACCCAGTTCAGAGTTGTTCGCACCGGTTGACGCGCCACGAGCGTACGCCATGCACTGCTGCGGAACTCTCTACCACTACCACCAGCTACTCCGGTATGCACCATGGTCGACGGCCATGTGCAGGTGGTGCCGTCGTGTCGTCGTCGCCGCGCCGAGCGCGTGCACGCGGCGCGACGAGGGCGTGCGTACATGCATGCATGCGTGCCTCGCTCTCGCCCTGCAACGCGACGCGCGCAGGTGTGGCGTTAATGGCCGGTGCCCGGTCAGTTTGCAGTCTCCTCCTTGAATGCAGGCTAGCTACTGCGATAGTTCAGGAATTTACTCTCACTCAGCTACCATCGCTGTGGCTCTCCATGCGTGGGTGCAGTGCAGATCGGCGTGGCATCAGGGCGGCAACAGATGCAGAGCTAGCCATCTGTGACGCGTGCGCGTCGGCGTGCAAGAGCGACACGGATATGGCACTTGTCATTGATGTATCAACATGTACGAGCTCGACTGGAATCAGAGGGAGAAATCAATGGCGCGCGCCAGAGGTTGTTTCTCGAACTGTTTGTACGTGGGCATGGACTTCAACCACCCACCTATCCAAAGGAAACTAGTCTCGATTACTTCATGAAGTCCTTCAAGTAGTGCAGAGTACAGACGTACAGTAGGTACTTGGAGCCAGCTGTGTGAGCATCTGGCACAGTGGCTGTGCCAATTGATCGGATCGAAATGCCTCTTCTGGTGACTGGTGGTCGTCTGCCTTTGGATGCAACCAGAATGGAAGTGGTCTGCCTTTGGATGCAACCAGAATCGGATCGAAATGCCTCTTCTGCATGTTCAGGAGTATCAGGACGTGGTCGAGAGGTTGTTTGGAAATTTTAAATTTTAAGATCTAACTATATACGTAGTCACGTAGAGCTCTAAATATTTTCAAAATGAAAAACTGCAAACTACAAAGTGTAGATCACATTGAGAATGAAAACTTTTGTGTAGACCATATCAACATCAGAGATAAGCCAACAGTTCTAGAATAAAATTTTGAATTTTGATAAAGTAAAATAAAGACTCTAAACGGTTTCAAAAGAAGAAAGAAACAATGTAGTTGCGCTAAACTGAAACGAGGGCTCTCTTGTTCTTAAAGCGGTAGGCCCAGCCGTCAAGGCTGACTGCCAAAAAGGAAGATCAGAAGTTGAATGTTTTGAGGAGGCCCGTAGGATGTTTTGAGGAGTATCTCTTCGCTGATTGAAGATGGGCCCATTTCTGAAGTTCCACCCAGAAAAAAAAATCAAGCGAGTCACAAGGCCGACTGCCAAAAAGGAAGATCAAAAGTTGAAACAAAAAGTTAAAATGAGCTGACGTTCCTAAAAAAAAAAGTTAATTAAATTCTTTTATACGTCCAGGCTTGATTTTTCGACTTAGCCTAAGTATATAGTAGCATAAGTGTGGTGACTTCGCTTAAAACTGAGGTTTCAGAAAAAAGGAAACAATTTGAGCCACGATCATCTCACTGTTTGCAGCTTCGGTCTCTGAGCCATCCAAGCGTAATCTAACTCAAATCGAAACGGACAGGGCAACGCAACATCCATGCCTTTCCGCCCGAGTTCCACGGCAAGTTGTCTACTACAGCATGCATCCCGATCCAAGGAGCGGCAGACCTAGCACGCAAAGGTGCATCCCGTGGCAGCCTCGCTCCCTTCAACCTGGTCGGCCCCTATGATTGTTACGGCAAGCTCGCCTCCGTCCGACGCAAAGTGGCCATGCATGGCCAGTGGGCTAGACGAACAAAGCTGCTTCGTTGCTGCTAATTTCACCCCTGGCTGCCTGTTGTTAGACCTATAGGATCACAGGAGCATAGATCTAGCCGGGTACTTACTGTTGAATAGAATTATGAATCCTAGAATATCTACTTATACAGTAACAGTAGGTAGAACGAGAGAAAGAGAGGGGTAGAAGGTGGACGTGTCAAACCTGACACTGCAGTGGAGGAGGATCCGCTCGCGTCCGTCATGGAGTCGGTGTCTGCGCTAGGGCAGCGATGGTCGGTGAAGACGACGTTGGTGATGCATGGTGGCGACCAGCGGTGAAGGCAGTGGAGTCCGGTGACGCTGTCCGGAGGCGGCGCAGTGCTGTGGTGGCGGTGCTTCCCGTCACTGGTTGCGTCCCTCACTAGATCGGGTTTAGGGTTTGTCGGTGGGGAGCTCAGTTCAGGCGAACCTCGTGACTTGAGCCGTCGGCCCCACCTCTATTTATTGCGCAGAGTAATAGGGGCCCTCCAGCCATACTGGGCTAGGCGCCCCCGACCAGGATGCGGATCAAAGGCCCAACTGAGCCGTTGGGCCCAGTTTGAAATTAGAGATCAATCTAACCATCTCCCCCTTGATCTCCTACCATCTTTCAATTTTATAGCATTTACTTTTGTTCATTCCATACAGATTAGCGCATAGAGTATGTTTCATCGTCACGGTCAATTGCCGATAGATTTAACAGCTACAACACACCACTCTGTTCTGAAATAGATACTTATCTTTGGGCCTTTTTTGTCTAGGAATTATAGGCTTTCCCTTAAACCCCATGCCGGCTACATGTTCTCTAAACACGTTGGGTGGTAAGCCTTTTGTAAGCGGATCCGCGAGCATCTTTTCGGTACTTATATGCTCAAGACTTATGACATGATCCCGGACTTTATCTTTCACAACATAATACTTTATGTCAATGTGTTTGGCAGCACCACTTAACTTATTGTTGTGAGCGTACTATACTGCTGAATTATTATCGCAGTATAACTTAAGTGGTCTATAGATGTCGTCAACCACCTTCAAACCGGGTATGAACTTCTTTAGCCAGTTCACCTGTCCCGTTGCCTCATAACACGCTACAAACTCGGCATACATTGTGGACGATGTAGTGACGGTTTGCTTTGAGCTTTTTCATGAAATAGCTCCCCCCGCGAGAGTGAATACATATCCAGACGTGCATTTTCTATCATCTCCCGCATAATCAGAATCTGAATATCCCACTATATGCAGTGAATCAAATCTTTTATATGTCATCATGAGGCCTTTCGTTCCTTGCAAATAACGCAAGACTTTCTTTACTAATTTTCAGTGTTCTGTTCCAGGATTGCTCTGGAATCTGTCAAGTAACCCGGTAACAAATGCCAAGTCAGAGCGCGTACATACTTGAACATATTGCAAGCTTCCGACAACTGAAGTATATGGAACCGCTTTCATTTGATCGATCTCATATTAGTTCCTGGGCATTGAAAATCCCCATATCTGTCGTCCTTGACTATAGGAGCAGGTGAGGGACTACATTTGTGCATACTGAATTTCTGTAAAATCCTTTCTATGTATGCCTTTTGTGATAGTCCTAATACCCCTTTACTTCTATCTCGGTGAATCTTGATCCCTAGAACAAACCAAGCTTCACCAAGATCTTTCATATCAAATTTTGAGGACAAAAACTTCTTTGTCTGCAGTAGTAGACTAACATCACTACTAGCAAGTAAGATATCATCCGCATACAGGACAAGAAGATAAACTTTTCATTCTTAAACTTTGCATAGACACAATTGTCCTCTACATTCTCTTTAAACCCAAAATTCCTTATTATCTGATCAAACTTCAAGTACCACTGTCTTGAAGCTTGTTTTAATCCATAAATAGATTTCTTTAGGCGGCATCCCATTCGTTCTTTTTCTTCCATGACAAAACCTTTCGGTTGTGCCATGTAAACATTTTTCTCCAAGTCCCCGTTGAGAAATACCGTCTTTATATCCATCTGATGTAATTCTAAATCGTAATGTGCTACCAATGCCATTATGATTCTGAATTTATCCTTACATGAGACTGGAGAAAAGGTCTCATTGTAATCAATCCCTTCTCTTCGCGTAAAGCCTTTTTGCCACAAGTCTCGCTTTATATCTCTCTATATTCCCTTAAGAGTCAAGTTTTGTTTTGTAGACCCATTTACAGCCTACTATTTTGGCTCCTTTAGGAATTATTTCCAAGTCCCAAACTTTATTGGCATTCATAGATTTTATTTCATCTTCCATGGCCTCAAGCCACTTCGATGAATGATCACTTCTCATGGCTTCTTCAAATAAGGTGGGATTATCCTCCATTTGAAATTCCTCAGTATTGTATACTTCATAGTCAGCAGGAATAGCTGATTTTCTAACTTTTTGAGACCTTCTAGGGGCCTCCACATTCATTGTTACCACAGGCGGAATAACAACTGGTGCTGGCACCATAGTATCTTACACTGTCGGTGCAGTGACATCTGGTAGTGAAAAAAATAGCTCATGAATCATCGGAGTGGGCGCATACACGCGCTTCTCTTCAAGGTCAATTTCTCAAGCTACCATGCTCCCCCTTATCATTTCATCCTCTAAGAAGACAGCGTGTCTCGTTTTCACAAACTTTGTATGTCTGTCTGGACAGTAGAAATGAAAACTTTTTGACTTTTCTGGGTAGCCAATAAAATGGTAACTTACTGTTTTGGGATCTAGCTTTCCAATGTTTAGGTTAAATACTTTAGCCTCAGCAGGACTCTCCCCCACACGTAAGTGATTTCGTGAGGGTACTCTTGCTGTCCACAACTCATACGGTGTTTTGGGCACCAACTTACTTGGTACTCTATTGAGAATATGAATGATTTGGTTTTAACGCC